AATGATTCTATGATTCTATGATTCCATAAGGTATACAGAATTTATAGATGACGATTATACAAAACCTATGATTATCTGGATAATAAAGCCGTAAAGATAGCAAGTGTTCATACCAAAAAACTCCAAACTTTACCTTGGAACTCACTGGCAAGCGGCCATTTCATTAAGGAAGAAGTCATACTTACCAAGATCCAGAGCCTTGCTTCATTTCCCTGGATTTTAAATAAGATTTTGTACTGTCTCTATGTGAGAATAATTGCATGCCATGAGTTCTGTGTAGATGTCATGGTTTAACCCCAGCCAGCACTAAGCATCACACAGCCGCTCGCTCACTCCCCCCCAGTGGGATGGGGGAGAAAATCGGAAGGGTGCTGATGGTCTTTAGGCACTGAAGTACCCCACATACCCTTGAATGGTATTCCATAATTCAGTGAATGTTTGGGTATTGTTGTGCTGATGCATTTGTGTGTTTATATCCACTATCGCTTTCATTTTTCCTGGTGATTATAGAAGGAGGATCAGGAATAGAACATTTACCTAGGAGTAGAAAATCACATTCAGGAGTACCTAAGAAAAATTTGGTATAGATTTATATAATTTTTGTTGTCTGAGATTTATACAAAAAGATGCACCTATACCTTGGGAAAGCTCTCTTCAACATATCAAGTGCTGATATCGGTTCCAGTCAGAATACAACAGTAAGAACAGGTCTAATTAAAAAGCCTAATGAAAATCAGTAAAGGAATTGCAGTCAGTCATTGTTGATGAACTTTTATTTTATGCTAAATATTTTATAGACCATTAGTAGTTTTAAACAAAACTATAGTGGCTTTCAAATATTAGGTTGGAGGATTTAGAGAGATTTCATAAAATGGTAACTTCGACTTTTGGAAGGAAGATATGATTTATGTATAGGTTTTAAACACTGCCTGCTGCCAGTGTATTAATTAAAAAATAATACATTTAAGGTAGTGGGCACTGAGGAAAAAACAGAGCTATGGGATCTTCAACTTTGCATGGAGACACTGTTCAAGTCTTTATCAAGCTAGACGTATGCAACATATGTAGGTGTGTGTTGTACAGATGAGAAGAGGCAGTTTCGTATTTATATAAAACTCAAAGGTTGAGGAGATGAGAAGGCATTCGGGTCTTTGAAACTAGATTATTCTCTCACTGCAGCTAAGATTTTCAAGTGTGTTTGGTGATTACAAGTAAGTCAAATTTAAGATACTCTAAAAAGTGTGATCTTCAAATAGTTACAGTGCAACACTTCCTGAAAATTAGGCTGGTTTAGTGTGTTTGAAGTTTAGTAGCTAAAAACATCAACCATACCTCGAATTCTTGGTTTCTATGCTCCTGGTTATTGTTTGCAGAATTATATTGAGAAATTGAGAAAATATGCTGTTGAAATTGAAAATGGAACACCATAAATATCATAAATTGTGCTCTTAAGCATTTCTTTAAACTGGCAGACTTGAATATGGGGAAGATGAACATATATTCCCTCTGTTTCCTTCCCGAGTTTCAGTATATTATGGTAAGTTCTTAAGAACCTTCTGGAGCTTATCTTGTTGTCAACCTACATCTACAACTCCTTGCAGAAAGGAACATTTCTTTCTGAATAATAATTTAGTGACTTCAGTGCATTTCGATTCCAGTGGCTGAAATAATTTTCACCCTTAAACTTCCCAGACTCCTGTTGAGGCACTGTAGATCTCTATCCCTGCCTGTCTTGTGAATCTGGATGTTTTTTATCTCATATATTTCTTCAGGCCTTTGATATAGTTGCTGTCTTTGTCTCCACCATCTGGAATCTTTTTTTCACTCTGTTGCCTTTGTGTGGAACATAGATCTTTTAACTGAACTCCTCACAACTTCACTGTCACTCGGAAATAATCTCAAAACTCATGTCTTTGCACATTTCTATTGTCCACCTACCATTTCTGTTTCATTCCTTCCTTCACCAGATTTAGATAGTAGACTTTCTGGAGAAAGTACTTGGAATCACTTTAATCTTTGTGAAATGATTTGCAAGACTGTGGAGTCCTATAAAAGTTTATAGTTAAGAACCTGATGGAAGTTTACAACCATTGTGTAATTTTTCGGGCAAGGCACACTTAAAGCCAGGAATGTTATTTCAGGATGAATTTTTGTGCCTGTGCGTAACACTTTGGAAGTATATTTAGAGGAGACACAGAGGACATGCTAGTAAAAATAAGGCATTAAAAGTGTGAAACTCTTAGTACAGTGGAGCTTGGTTTAAGTCACTGGAATAATGATAATTAATAACACCGTATTAATGAGTATCAGTTCTCTGTTTTTTCTACAGAGCAGAAAAGAGATTCTGAGGTGGCAAGCTATAATGTGATAAACTGGAAAATACAGTTATATGACATGTATATACAGATATATGACATGTTTGGTCATATATTTCTAGAGATGCATCCTTATTTTTCATTCTTTCATTTATAGATGCTGTAAAATTTAAAAAAAAAAAAAAAAAGTATTTTTCTCTTTCAGCCATTAATGAATTTCCTGAAGATGTATTTACAAATAAAGAACGGCAGCAAGGAGCAGTTCTGCTTCATATCATTGCCGTAAGTTTTCCTCTACTGTGATTCATTTTTGTTTTCTTTTTATTTGTCTTGTAAGATGTTAATCATCCTAGTGACCTTACTAGATAGAGCTCTGTATATATCAACATGTTTCTAATACTTTGATTTCAGTGTTTCCAATATGTCTATATAGGTGCAAACGCTCGAAAGGTAACATACTAGGGACGTGGTTTAGTGGTGGACTTGGTAGTGTTAGGTTAACGGTTCAACTCGATGATCTTAAGGGTCTTTTCCAACATAAATGATTCTATGATTCGATGATTTATTTAAGAAAATGACGCAAGTCTAAAGTTGCAGTGCCTACACATTCATCCTCTTGGAGATAAAATCCTGGCTACATGGATCACAGAGGGATTTCTTCCACTGACTTGTATTTGTTTGTATTTCATCTTGTATGAACAGGGTTTGGGATTCCTTTGTTGATGACATCAAGCATGATGTGGAAGATTCTTGATTCTCTTTCTTTCGTATTGTGCCTCTATGCAAAAGATGCAATTGTAATTTAAAAAAAAAAATCTCTGAAGTAATACATGAAATGTCATGTGGAGTTTTATATTTAATTGTAGAAAAAACCACAACAAGTAAGGCCTGCGGGCTCCAGTTTTCCATTCCCAGCTCAGGGAAAGTAAAGTAAAAAGGAGTTGTGTTTGATGGACAACAGCAGGATTAGGCCCACTGCATGAGCACGGCACATAAAGCCACATAAATGTGACAGAGGGAGAATCACATGTACGCAGGAAACCAGGATCATTCCTGAGAGGTTTGGTGCAGTGAGCCATGGCCAGGGTCCGCTTATTTCCAGGTGTGATTATTTCTTGAGTATTGTTAATCAGAGTGTTACTTTCTATTTAATTACTTGGTCTGATAATTAATTGAAAATATAGATGATGACTACGTAACTTTGTAAACCTTACCCATTACTTTCCTTTATATGAAGTCTGTTGTGACACCCTATTCTATCAAACTGTGATACCTTTCATATTCTAGGGTCTGGCAAACATTCTTATCCTAAACTTAATCTTACATTCAAGAATCTGGTTTTATGCCATAAGTTGATCAGCAAAAGAATTTTTACTTGGAATGGAATAAAAAATGAAGCTATATATTTCTGCTAGTCTGAGTAAATATAGCATTGCCTTCTTTCCTCTTTTCATGTACAGGAAAAATCTGAAGTATTTCCTGAATTTATTTTCTTTACAGGCTCTTTATATGTTCTATGCTTTGGCTATAGTATGCGATGACTTCTTTGTTCCATCCTTAGAGAAAATTTGTGAGGTATGTTAAAGAATTTTATTTCTCTTTTGGAAATTAATTTAGAGAATATTATAGAATCAAATGTTCTGTGCCATCGTTGTTTGGAGTTCATTCCTGTCAACTTTTTGGCCTCAGTCCTTTTCAAATTATTTGAGCTTTCTATCAAAAAATGAACCTGTGGTCTGGGCACATTGGTCCCCCTGGCCACACTCAAGGAGAAAAAATGAAAGATTTAATGAGATCAGATGGCAAAACCCACACTTAAATACCTGAAGCATGTAGCTAGGATGGATATGACATATGGATGAGTTGAGTTTATTATTGCACTCCTAGTTTTAAAAGTCACTTATGGAAAGAATCATACGTAGGCAAATTAATATGTTTGCTATGCAAATTTTATTGCACATCTACCACTGTATCAGCAAGGATAAAGCAAACGTATGCGGTCCTAGCATAAAGTGGAGAAAAGTGAAAAAAGGGAGAATACACGAGAAAAGGATGTACCTTGGTTTGATATGAAATGAGAATACATATTTTATATGCAAAAAATTCGTAAATAAATGTAATTCCTTTACATAATTGTTGAGAAGACTTTGCAAAATTACATGTAGGATTCTAATTAAGTTGATCAGGATAGGGTAGAATTTATACTTGTCATGTAAATGTTGAGTTATGTAAGGCTTTGGTGAACTACTACAAAATAAATACAAAATACAAAACCAGATTTTAATTCCTTTCTGAGGGCAAAATGAAAATCTCATCTCCTTTGCTTTTTAACAAAAATTTGTGTGACCATTTTCTGAAAAACTCCTGAGGCTATTTAAAAGGTCTATTTTCCTATGGATATATGTACTAAATTCCTGTTAGTGTTACTCAGGGCTATGTACTTACACTTATCAATAGAAGAACAAATGGAAGAATAAGGGAGGTGGCCAATAATAGTAAAATACTCAATAGGGATCTTTTCTTTCCCTTTTCAGATGTTCTGTCTTCAGCATGCACCTTATACACCATATTTAAGTTGTACCAATTGGGTTGTACCAATTAAGTTGTCACTGATCCTTCATAAAATCTTTGTCTCGTGTCTCATGTTCTGCTGAACATTAAAACAGCGAAGAAGAATTCAGATAGCACGCTTACATTTGAGCTCCTGCAACAGTATGACTGGTAATAGATCAAATGGTACAGTCAGGGTTTGTGGTTATGTTTTGTCAAGTTCTGTAGGATGCCATTTTCATCAGCTCAAAATATTGCATACTGCCTGAAAAATACAGGATTTCTGTACTGGTCCTTTTGTCACTAATCACTTTTCTATCCTTGGAAGAGAAATAAGGTACTAAAGATGAGTCTAGAGACTCTCAAAAAGGAAAAAGCTCCTCCATTAAACCTTCTTTATAGTTCAAGGGAAAGATCTTCAGACAGTATTAAATTGATACAGCCCACTTGTGGAGCTACACATGTTTCTGCTGGTCTGAGAACTCTTAAGTTATCAATATCCTATTAGAGCTTAAGAGACACTGTCATAAAAATAGATCTGTCTACAGTACACAGGCCTCTCTGTGTCTAATTGGACTAATTTTGTCTTTGTCAGCGGACTCACTTTTGATTAACACAGTTGTGAAGTGAAGCCAGAATCAGGCCTGCTGTTTGTAAGATTTTTCTCTTATGGATTTTTATTTTCAAATTTTAGAAGCCCCAAGAATTGCCCTTAATTCTTCAATGATTGTGTTTAGAGTTTCAAAAGTAAATTAATGAAAACAGTTTGAGATATTTACAACTTTTTTGAATCTGCAGAGATGCTTTTCTCTAATCAGCTACATATAAGCCACAATTGACTATTCAGTTATATATAAGTACGTAATTTTATCTGACACTTCACTGAGTTAGGGTATAAACATTCTACTTTCCCAAAGTGTATTTGCCTTCTCAAACCGCAGTGTCTATTTTTATATCATAGTGACTGTTCATCCTTTAACAGCACTGTGGCCAGAAAATGAAGAGCTTCTATCTTTGCAACTGTAGAACTGTGCAATGTAAATACAGTAGCAGTGCTGAAATTACCAATGCTTTTCTTCCAGAAACTACATTTGAGTGAAGATGTTGCTGGAGCCACATTCATGGCAGCAGGGAGCTCCACTCCAGAACTGTTTGCATCTGTTATAGGTATGGAGCCCACACACTAGCTTTTATGAGATCTGCTGTTAAAAAAACCAGCAGCAGATCAAGCAGAGGTATCCAAAAGTGCTACCATTCTTCTGTCAATTTATAATCAGCAATTGCAGCTGTCAGCTAGTCTGTGGTTCATGGTATAATTAACTACTCAAAATATCTCATGAAACTGTGAATCTCCTCTCAAAACACAGAGAGGAATGGCTGATTCTGAACATAGAAAGTAAAATAAGAGATTTACTGCAGTCCCCTGAGAGAGAATTTGAGATATTTGATGCCTTTTTGGCTTCTTTCTTTACAAATAAAGGGAATTAATTTTAGCAAGGAAGTAGGAGAACAGGGAACATGGGAAAAGAACAAATTAATATATAGATAGGTCAGATCTGTTAAAGGCAGAAGGACATGGTATATATTACTTACAGAATTATTTGAAGTAATCTCTGAAATATTAAAAATCATTGGTATAAAGAGGAAGTTTAAATGGCAAAAGCAATACTTATTAACAGAAGGAAGGACACAGGATTACACTGATAGAGAAGGGGGAAAGCAGCAAATTCAATAAATCTGTCTTTAGTAAAGCCTTAGTAGGCTTTCTGCTACTATCCTGACTGACATTTTTACAAACTTTAGGGAAATACAGTCTAACGGAATGCACTATAACATCACATCCAACTTATTAAAAAGCAACGAGTGTAAGCCTTTAAGGCTTCCTTTATCGTAAGATTTAAAGTACAAGTAGACACAGCTCTGTAGTGCATTCATGTTATCTTTGGTTCTGTCTCAGGGCTGGATTACATTAGATAATCCCTGGCAATCCACTCCAGCCATTAATTTTTGTCATTCTGATACAATTACGTTATGGATAGGTATCTGAGGCATAGGTGGGTTCAGTACTAAGGGAAATCTGAAAGTCGGTACTAGAACAGGTTAAGTCTGAATCCTGGTTGTCTGTTCGAGTCAGAAGGCACACATTACTGCACCCAAAGTGGCTACCAGCTTTTTGAGGGAAGAATCTCTTACTCTCATGAGACATTGCAAGGAAGAACACACTAAATATTAAATACCTGGGAGGAAGGTTTCTGTGCTTTATTATACTGTTTGAAATAAATTCCATGCTCCTGATGTGACTGGAGATGTTTTGTACTCATTTGAATGGATTACTGCACCACTAACAACCAACCTGTGAAATACAGGACTTACTGTTGAACTAACTAGTTAAGAAATCATTTACTTTTAGTGAAAATATATATGTAGAGATGTTAAGACAAAAATGGGGAGCTGCTAGCTAGACTAAAAGCACAAAATATTCCACAGAGAAGTGAGCATTTATTATGAAACAAGTTTTGGTTAAACTTTCAAACAACCTCTCTCAGGTAGTACAGGTTCTAAGTAATTGCCTGTGACCTAAAATGAAATGACAGAGGTAATAATGCATGTTTTGCTCCCTCTGCAGGTGTATTTATCACTCATGGAGATGTAGGAGTAGGTCAGCAGTTTTCAACATCCTCTGCATTATTGGTGTCTGTGGAATGTTTGCAGGACAGGTTAGTAAGATACTTATCTTTATGGAGTTCAATTGCTTACAATTTAGGGGTTTCCATGAGCAAATATTAAAAAAAAAATAGGAGTATTAGTCAAAACCAAAAATGAGCTGGCATCATGAGAAATGTCGAATGTTGGAAAGAATTTACAAATGCTTTACAAATAGCAAATGTTTCCAAAAAGTTCAGCTGTAGTTTCAGCACTCTGAACATGTAGCGTACAGAGGAAACTGGTTCCTCTTCATACGATACTGTGTTCACAGTCAACTGCTAATCCGTTCTGGTACTGACAGTGATCAAAGAATCTAGGACACAAGCATGAAATTTGCTCCATCTACTCAGTAGATGGTTAGACTGTGTATCTATTTTTTCAAGTATTAAGTCTGATATATCCACAAATACAATGAAGTGGGAACCATTGATTTGCTGGAGTACAATGAATTGTACTTTACAATTGAAATTATGACCAATTAAAATACCATTAGTAAGAAATGTATTTCATTAATAGAAGTTTCTATATGATTTTTATTACTGAAGGTTATTATAAATCCATTGCCTAACAGACTGATATCTCTTCCTGTTAGCATAAAACTGCGATTGGTTCCAGAATCATTGCTAATAATAATTCTGCTCGCACACTTAAGTGATTGCAAGATAGAGGCCATTTTTGTGGGCTAAAGTTGTGATATTTTTCAGGTGGTTTGTCTCACCCAGTGGGCTGTGTTCCGGGACTCTGTGTACTACACGATAACTGTGATCGTACTTATTGCTGTAAGTTGAATTAACGTGTTTCATTGCTTGAATTTTTGGAGGACCGGCCTGCTAACCATTGATATACACACATAATAATAAACAATTATTTTCCTAGCTAGTTCTAGTGACATCTGGAAGTGAGGGCTCAGCTCCACAGTATGGTCCAATATGAAAACTTCATACAGCCCCACAGAGTATGTGTCCGTTATGTCCATCAATGTCCATTCATTTTGTACTTACAGTCTGTAAAGTTCTGCAGGTTAGCAGGCTACTGTTACACAGTGCGCTCTCTTCAGACCTAGGGGACTGCTTGTTGTGGAGATGAAAAATTTTGAGCTGCACCTCTATTTTAGATAGGGAAGGTGGCTGTTGCTTGCTTCTACACAGTGATTTTATTTCATAGATTCTGCGTAAATTTTTCTAAATAGAGCAAAGGTGAGATACCTCTTTATTCATCTAGAGCAGTGTAGTAGTTCCTGAACGTACGCATTTACTGTGTCTGATGGCAGGGAGGGGAAGAATCCATTTAGTTTGTTTTGTATTAAATACGGATCACTAGCAGCTGCCCATTCAGTTACAGGACTTACATAGGGTGGAGTAAAATGTGTATAACCACTTGGCCTAAGAGCAGAAGTAAAATGGCTGCCATTTCTGCTAAAACTAGTCTAGCTGTTAAAAGGGCTCAGAGCTAGATCTCTTCAGAATACATGACTTTGCTGTCATTTACACAACACAGCATGTTGGTACATGTGTGCATATCTGTCTCTCTCACATGCTCACGCTGTTTTACTAAATAGTATTTGTAACAATGACTGAGAGGGATCCAAGCCTTGCTCACAAGGTTTGTGCTTTGTGAGGGACACAATTCATACAGTGAAAGTTCTGGTTAGAAAGGGTCAAAACTCGAGTAGCTTCTGGCTAGATATGACTGCTATTTATTAAACAAATTTGACAGTTTTTCAAGGTGGATCAGAGAAGTGGTCAATTTACGTGTTCCTTCTTTTTTTTCCCTTCTCTAGTTCATATATGATGAGAAAATAGAATGGTAAGTTGTGTAAATTATTCCCTACAGTCCCATATTTGCCGTGAGACTGATCAGTAAATAGAGTTGCAGTGTAATTAGGCTTCATTCATACACACGGGGAGTATGAGCTGGATTTGACACCTAGGAAATCCTATGTATTTTCTTTGGTTGTATTTTTTATGATGATCAGGGAAAACTAAAAGAAAATTTAAGAACCTGGAAACATTAACTAAGTAAATAGGCTATATGTAAGGCCTGAAGACTCACATATGCAGAGAGGGTAACCAAAGTTCTGCTGTTCTGATTCTGGCTGTTAACATTTATGGAAGTGCTAGGTGTCCCAAAGAACAGTCCAAGGTGGGATCCTAATGGAACATCATAAGCATCTTCTAAAAGAGTCCTCTCAGAGTGCCTAGGCTATGCTTCAGCACTGAAATGACAAAATGCCTTCGCATTATGATCCTCAGAGGGTAGCTATGGTTTCAGTCTGCATAGCACATTTCTGAAATGCATGCATTACATTTTATTTGCATATTTACTGGAACTTGAGAGTCTGTTTCCCCCCCATTCTGCTGAGACACCATCTAATCTTAATGATGTGAATCTTGTGTACACAAATGTGACTTGTACTAGATGTTTAATGCACACTCCTACATAAAACTTGTAAAGCATACAGCTGTTTGAATGGCCTTTTAACAATTTTTTTTTGTCTCTTTGAGGTGGGAAAGCCTTGTACTCATCATTATGTATTCATTCTACATACTTATCATGAAGTAAGTGCTTTTCTCCTCCATATGCCCCTTAGGTGTTAATTGACCATTATTCTTTTGGTGTGGTTTTGTCCTTGGCCTTCCTGCTAAGAACAATACAGCCAGTTGTTTCTGTGTAAGACCCCTTGCTTTTTCATGCTTAATCAGTTTCACTCTAGATTTGTGCTCAGTCAACAGCAAATATTTTCATGCATCCTTCTCATAGTGCACTGAGGTAAAGTAGCTTTCAGAAATAGTTGAGAGAAAATGTCATTTATACAAAGATATATGAAAAAGTCTACCGGGTACTCTGGATTGTAAGCACACAGCATGTCAGCTATTACACATATTTTGTAACCTCTGGAGAACAAGGTCAAGGAACATTAGACAGACTGCTAAGCATGTATTGATCTTCAGACCGTCTCATACCAGATTGTATACTGACATCCTTCTTCTGTAGCGTCACTGCCTCTGACAGGAGAGTCAGAGGTCTGACTTTTACTGCAGGGGTCTGTGACTCCACCCTTCTACTGCAGGTTGCTTAGACTTATCCCTTGGTGCCCTCCCCTCACAAATCACCCTTTTTGGAACTTCAGCCTCCCTTTTCTCCTACATCAGGTCTTAGCAGAGTTCATTGACAGCCCTCTTAGATCCTGGCCTAGTGCTAAAATAGACGCATTCTTTCTTTAGAAGGGTATGGTCAACAGTCCCAGAAATGCTGAAGCACCTGCCATGGGGAACACAGTACTGAGAGAAACAATGAGGTGAATTGAGAGCTGATGCCAGAGGAAAGAAGCCGTTGTATAGCGAATGTCCTGGCTCCAAAATCCGCAGCTCCACTGTTTTGCCTTCACTAAATCTGCTCTAGTGTCTTTTTGCAGTTTGCTGTATCTCATCAGAGATAGGCACAGCCCTTGCTTTCCTATCAGCTTGCCGCTGAATTGGATAGTCCTTTCTCTTAACTTCCTATTAGTTGTCAGAGGACATGCATCCAGGCTTTACTGCTTGCCTGCATAAGTTGTTCTCAAACACTTAAAAGTTTGATGAGAAAATGCAACGATCCAGCCTTTTCAGACCTTTCCTTTGCACTTTCAGGTACAATGTGAGGATGCAAAATTTCTTCAGCCTTAAAAGCAAGAATGTCGGAAATGGTGACACAGTCAACAATGAGCTGGAAGATGGTAATAAATGTTATGCCTCTAGTTGTGATGACCCATCCATTCCATTACTACGGAAAGGTAAGGCTGAGCAGACAGGACTTGGAAAAAGAGTAGTTCACAGGATATCCTTTTTATTTCTTTAATGTGGGTCAAAACAGTGTTACTATTCAATCATAAGCAGGAATTTTTATTGGATTAACTTGACAATTCAGCAGACTGCCAGATGAAAAAACCCAATCAATCAAAAATGTTTTTTGATATTCTGAAAACAAAGCTGCTTTGCACATTGGCAATTTTGCTCCCTTTTTATCTCCTGTTCAGTGATGAGCTACAACGCTGTGAAAGAAATATTTTTTTTTTGCCAGGAAGAAGGTAATTTTCACTTCAAAAATTAGTTTGGAACTAGAAGCTGAGACTTGGGTGTTGAAGGAAAGGACATGGGCAGATCAGTGGGCAAGAGGGATTGCGTGTTGAGTTCAGATCCTCAGAAGACTGGCTTTCACATGCCTAAATAGCTCTGCATACATTGCCAAGCACATATGTAAAATTGAGAAATGCAGGTCTGTGTCTTTGTCATAAAGGGGAAGAAGATGATACCCAGCTTCTGGTACTGAAGGTAAGCAAACATACCTGGGTATATTTGGCTTTTTTGTAAGCCTGTTTTTATCATTGTCTTATCCCTCTTCTCTTCCATTCCCTCTTTTTTCTGTAGGGCAAAATCATTCCTACCTTCAAAGCACAAACCATATAATTTAGTGAGCTCTTGGGCTACTCTTAACAAGTGAGGTCTCCTTGCTTTGTTCTTTGCAAACATCTCCCATTCCAGGAGACGGAGCTCAGCAGCAATGTAGGTAGCAGTTGGAAAGGTCCTCATGTAATAACAAATAGTGGCAAACAGGAATTTAGAGCAGATTCAGAGAACCCCACTCTTTTCTGCTTTTAGTGTCTGGGCTGGGATCTCTTCAAGGTAGGTACTGTCACTTACTACAGGTTTATGCAATGACAGCACACGTACTCTGGTCTCAGATATGGTGTTTAGACAATAGTTTAATATAAATTTAAAATTACTTCTCAGGACATTGTAGCGTAATTAAATGAAGATGTCTTTGAAATACTTTGATCTTATTTTACAATGAATTTTTGTGAACATTGACTATGATATAGTGAAGTCTGTCAGTTGGACATGGAGGTATGTACATACGAGGTTCAGAGGATACCTCCTAGGGCAGTTGTTACTGATGTATCCAAGTGAGGATGCCGGAAAATGGTGATCCAGTGAAAAAACGCAGATGTTAGTGGTTTTTACTTCTGAGGCATTTGTTAGATTCTGTTGTCGTCTCACTGCATGCTCTCCTCTCTAGCCACTGTGTGGTAAAGGGATGATAGCACTGAGTGCTTGCCTGGCCACCTATTTCCTTTTCAGGAAATGTGAAGATTATTTAATGCTTGTGAAGAACATGCAGAACTTTTAGGAAAAGGAGCAAGAAAGCTAATAAAAACCTGGATTCATGAGAATTGTGTCTCCACTAGCAACTGTCCACATCAGATTTCTTCTCTAATTTCCCTCAAAGTTGCACTGACACTGCAGTTTCAGCCAGGTTCCCTTTGCCTTCTCCAGCACCCATTACACAAATACATGCTGCGTTGGAGGGACCATTGTTCAAAATGTGAGAGTTTAGATATTATCACAGGCAAACCTACCTGGGATGAGAGAAGACATGAAGAAGAGATTAGGGAGGTGCCAGTTTGGAGTAAGCAGTGGTAGAGGAGGATGGCAGTGTTAGCCTAGCTGCTTTGTAGATGGGTGCTTTATATGTCAAGAAGCTGTCCACCACATGGCTGCCTGTTGCATCTCCCTGCTGTTGAGTCAAAATATGCCATGACCTATCAGTGACTTGCTGTTAGTTGACACTTGGCTAGTTTCACAAGCTGAGCTGCACCTTCCCCAGCAGCTGTCAGAAACAGGGGCGCTGCTAGTAGTAGGGAGAGAACTAGAGCTGGCCTCTGCCTTACCTCCATCCAGTGGTTAGCAAGTTTCAGGATCCACCAAAAAACCTCCCTTGGCTTCACTAAGGTGTAGGTCTAGCCTTAATCTGATTTTCCACAGGAGGAAAGTCTGATTATTTCCTGAAAAAGAAGAGTTGCTTTGGGTGAGGAACTTTCTTCCTACCAAGGATGGTTAGTCTGTTGCTTAAGGTGCAGATAAAAGGGGCATTCACATGCTGCACAGCTTTCTCTTATGCTTGTAAGTTTTATTATTTTCAAGAGCTTCCAATGGTACAATATAAAAGCTTCCATTACTCAAGTTTTGGAGAGAAAAAGGAGAGCTTTTCACTATAAGATAAATTCAATTTCAATTTTCTACACAAATTCAATTTTCTACACACACAGGTAAAGGTGAAATATTTGTACTTTGTGAATAATGCTCCTATTTTTAAAATACAAACATGTGGCTCATTGTCCTTGGCTTTTATTATGTTGACCCAAATTTCCACCAGGTGGCATGGTTCGATTCCTGCCTAAAACCAGAAACTCTTGGAAAAAGTGGGTTTCTGAACAATGTGTTGTAGATACCTGAGGGCCTGATCAGGGGTCAACTAAAGTCAGCAAGAAGCTTTCTGTTGATTTTGGCAGGGTTGTTGGTGATGACCCTTTTTGGTGAGCAGGAAGTTTAGGTAGTTAGTTAAAAAGAAAAGCCATTCTCAGAAGATGTTTTTCTAAGGAGTATCGCCAAGGAGAAGCGAAAAAGGCTTTTCTCTGTCTCACATTTGTGAAAACCACTTTTGCGATTTTTAGGTGGAGCCTGTTTGGGGCCAAGGTATGTATGTTTATGGGCATAGGGAGTGAGACTGAAAAGCTGTTATGAAAATATAAGAGCAATGTGCTGCAGTAAGTCAAAACAGCTGCAGTTAGTTATATATGTATATATATTTATAGTGATGTATTCTACATCAGTGCTGAGTTTTTTATCATGGTATTTCATCAAAGCTGAGTAGGTTTGGTCACTGTCTCCTTAGTGCTCTAAGAAACAGTTCCAGAGTAACTGCAGTGCTTCCATGTTTTTCATGACACTGTAAGATAAATAAGCACTTTGGAGACTTCACTGGAGAAACTCACTTGAGAGCAGTTAATCTGATGAGACTGTTAAAAAGATCTGGCCTTTTTGCATTACTAGGATTGCTGTCAAACATTTATTTTTCTTTGTCTAACTAAAGCAAATGTTGCTACTGTGGTTGAGTCCTCTTCTGTGAGGATTGGTTCCTAGGAAGTGTGTCTGGCTATAAATTCGTTCACAGAAAAGCTGCTGTACTCTACTGTAAGAGTCATTGGAATGGATGTGCTCCTTATTTGCATATCAGCTGCGGTACTCAGTAAGGTTAATTTGTTTTAGATGTCAGGGTGAGGGGCAGGGGGGGAGGATAATTGCTCCTTTATGTTTACCAAACACAAAATTACTACTAGTTCTGTTCTCCATTAGAGATCCTAAGCTGCAAGACGAGACTACAGAGTGTATTCTTTGAGTAGGGCATATTTCTTTGTGAAACCAGAGATCTCTTTATGACCCTTTAGGTGACCCCAGTGTACTCACTGAAAACTCATTTTAGTGAAACAAAGCAAGACACTCAAATGCTAAAGGGTAAAAGATACAGCTGTTTCCTGGTGATTTACAGGCTTGGTAGGTTTTTCGTGTTGAATGATAACGGAAGGATATTTTTCTTCAACTTCAAATATGTTGGAAGATGCTTGAGACAGCAAAGCCTTTATTGCATGATGTGATTTACATGCATGCATGGATCCAGTCTTCTTCCTGAAAAACAAAAATATTTCAACACTGTAACAATGCAAAAAAATAACAATGTAGATTTCTGTGTGTTTAGAACAGGTCCATTTTAATTCCTTTGTTTGAGTTGAATGTTTTCTTAGATTTCCTTTGCATCCTGACTGGAACCATGCACTAATAATTATCTTTCACTTCTACCTCCTAAATTCTCTTCCTCTTCTTAATGTAAGTAACTTAATGCAAAAGGGGAATGGGAGGGTGAAGCCAAGCTAAGCAAAGCAGAAAACAAGCAGCAAAGAATTTTATTGTGTTTTTTTCCCCCGTATCTATTATTACATGTAATAATTAATATTTATTACAGTCATATGCATATTTCCTGCCCTGCTTTCTAACACCACATGGGTATGTCTCCTGTCTGCTGAGCCTTGCTCTGCTTGCTATGTGTAGTCTGTAGCATTTGTGAGAATATTGGTTTGTTGTTGAGCTCTGAAGTCCTTGCCTGTACTTGTGTTGATTCCCAATATAATTTTATCTCTCTGTTTATATTCTTAACATGGTAGAACAAAACTTTTAATGTTGGTACAAGTTCCTTTATATTAACAAAAGCTTACTTATAACATACATTTGTTCTCGACAATTGTTTTTTTTCATCGTTTCAAATCTTGTCATGTTAGAGATATTGATAACATTCTGTGAAGGTACAGTGAAGATTTCCAAAAGGAGTGAGCACAACATCAGGGACTTCTGGACGTGCAGCACCTTGATCCAATGGGATAGCTTTAGAGGTTTCAGGAGCGCTGTCTACACTGCCACAGTGCAAGTGCTTTTAGAGAAGGCTTACAAAACCATAGTGGAATATAAGTGATGAAAACTGGTAATACAGCATGAATGGCTGGGTAAAAACTCCTCCCACTCATCTGAGAGTGAATTGGTGGCTGCCTTAGCAGAGTGAAATCCCTTTTCAGCATGTGTTTTAAACGAAGTGCACAACTGATGAGCAGATTCACCAGGCTGCAGAAATATTACAGGAAAGTCACTCGTAAATTCAAGCATTCAGATGAATGTTACCCCCCCACCCTGAGCCTGAAAAGAATGACTCTGGGTGAGGGAAGCATGGTAAGATCAATTCCACAACTAACTCTGTCCATTGTGATCATTAGTGAAGGGGATGCAGCAGCATGACAAAAACAGTGTTGTGATGGTGGATGAGATCATTTGCTCCAGTCCCCCCAAATACCGGTTCCCTGAAGCTGGATTACGGATTATGATTACAAATAAGTTTGGACCACGTACCAGAATGCGGATGGCAAGCCGACTCATCATTAATGAGGTAGGTTCATTAAGAAAACAATAAATGACTATGAGGCAGAGGAGTTGCCAAAGAGCTGTGCTCATAGTGATTCTGGAATTCAGGTTTTTCCATATTCCTAGGGATGGGCTAGAGCTATGTCTTTCTCTAGCAGCTATGTCACAGCAGATTTGAAGATGGATTCCCAATTGGTGATGCTGCCTGTCTTAATGGGAGGGCAGTCACCAAGTGGGGACTCCCTTATCTCCCTGTTTGTTTCAGTGTGTGTGTGTGTGTGTCTGCGTGCACATTTGAATTATATCTGCAACAGAAGACTTGGTTTTGATCATTGCAAAAGTGGTCAGGCTAAGAAAGGATAATGGACAGGGCAACCAAAAATCTGTAACAACTGCTCTTATATTAGCAGCACATCAGGATCACATCAGATATTTGCCTACCTCTTTAGTCTTCAGTGTAGTCCTCAGCTCAAAATGAAAATGGACCAAAATATTTTCATGAGGGGAATTTGCCCTGGACAGTTTCAGTTAACTGTGGCTTGATATATTGTCACCACCATATATTGCTTGTTTCATACCCTGCAGCTGAAGTGACAGGACTGGCCAAGTGATGCTGTTCTGAGCTTGTGTGAAGTACTTGGGGTTGGCCTGCCAATCTTGGCTTCTATCAAGGCAGGATTTTATCCTTTGCTCCCTACAGTGTTAAATACAAGAGGTTTTACTCTGGCAAATAAATTAATTCCAGTAGTTTAGGAAATACAAGCTTTAGCAAGTTCCTAGAATTTGAACATCATAACACAGTTCATGTGTCTACCCAGCATTGTGAATACCCCAATGAAGGAAAGCAGCACTAACATATTTGTAACAAAAGTCCAATTTAACAGTAAAGCAGTGAAATATTTATTAGGAAGTCAGCTTGGTGGCATACAGTCAAAAGCAGAAGATCAGATATGGCACACAGCAGCAGTTGAGACTGTAAAAGTTCTGCTTTGAAGGCAATTCATTGATCAGCAAAAATTTCTTTCTTAATGGACATATGCACAGAGAGCTGATACTTGCTAGTTCAACATCTGCAAAAAACATTCGCTAAACCAGAGCATTTTGGATCTATGTTCTTATGTATTCTCACTGCCAAAGTTTTGCAAAGTATTCAGATAGGAGTTTTCTCTATTTTTTATTACAGTGTGTTAACATTAGTTTCAGAATTTTTTTGCATGTTGTGCAGTTACTTTATTTTTCAAGGTATTTCAGAGCACTTTTTAGGAAGTTGCAACAATTTGTCATGAAAAAGACACCACTTATCGACCCTGCATTATCTCATCTAACAAACTAAAAATATTTCTTTTTTTATAAAAGTAGGAAATTACTGTTACATCTCACATTCTCCAGTGTATTAATGGGTACATATACTGACGTTTAAAACCTATCCCTGTAAGTGTTGTACTATGTATTGGAGCTGTAGCAGTCTTACACATGTCTGCAGGGGCAATTATGAGCTTTATGAAAGTATGTACTCGGACAAGGGCAACAAGGGTTAGTCTTGCTCTTGAAATAGTAAGTAGGACCTTTACATTTACCTCTAGGAATGGGGATGACAAGGAGGGAGAAGAGTTGGACCTGAGTAGGAGAGATCCTGGGTAATGAGTCATTCATAAGCCAACTCTAATAGTGAGGAAGTGTCTTGAGTGTTACCACTAGATTATGGTGCTATTGCTGGTTTGAGTGGGAACTGTTGGGTGAGAAGTGCTTCAGAATAACCACACTCATTAAAACATGGTGCGGAAGAACAGATATGACAACTTTCTCCATCATGGCTTGAAAGACTGTTGTAAGTAATTTTGAGGTGGATGGTCAACACTGGACTGATGAAGACAGGTAGTCCACAGACAGATTTTTGTGTTGCTGGTGGGAAGGAAGGCTTTGTGGAGAAACATCACGGCTCACGTGACTGGGGCTGGACAGACAGCAAAACTCAGATTTAACAAAGTCAGTATTTTCCAAACTATGGCAGTTTTGTCTTTGACACTGTGCAGCGTCAGCGGTTAATCCAATCTGCCAATGGTTCAAGCAAACCACTTCAGAATGGGAGACATGAGAATATTGAAAATGGGAACATCCCTGTGGTGAACCAAGAGGAGGAAAATGAACAGGACAGTCTATCTCCCTTTTCATTGCCAGGTAAGGCTTACTTTCCAGGTGTTTATAGTAAGGAAACAGAAGATAATTAAAATGCCAAGCACTGGGGTGTGAGAAAAGACAACATATGTGGGGAGAGAGGAGGAAGGGGATTGATTTGACTGTGTGAAGGCTGGATTTAATGACAGTAAAACTGGGCTGGAGGCTACATGGCTAAAAGCAGATCTTAGGAAAGTGTTTTCCAGCCATCATGCACAATAACGGTAGAAGTGCTGGTTTGCCGGAGGCGGAGGGAAAGCAGGTAAGGCAGGTTTATATTAAAAAACATGTCAGACCAACCCGATGAGCACTGCACTGCTAGTAATTTTGAAGTCAACAGTTAATAACGGCCTGCTGGAGATTGCTAGGCCAGAGGCAGCTAGGTGTATAAATATATAATAACTTGATTTAGTGACTGTAGGGGAGGCTTCTTGGATGAAGAGGAAGAAAGGTTTAGGGGGAGAAAGAGTGTTTAATATCTTTGACAGTGTTTAAAATTCTTAGAATAGCAGCGTGTAATAATATTCAACTTCTGAAATTTTTTGGAAACTCTTTGGTGTGAACAGCTAGGCATAACTAACCTTATTATGTTGGAGCCCTTAGCACATTGCAGGTTGACTCTTCCCCAAATGCTTTGGAAATTAGGCAGCAGAGATTAGATCACCCCTCACAGACATGTAGTAGTCAGTAGTCGTCTGTCACACAGTTACTGTTTAACACAAATATTACTTGGCATAAATGATTATCACATGCAGTGAAAAAGAAGGAAGAATTTTCCATGTTGTATATGATTCTAATTTCTTAGAGATCCCATTGCTTCAGTTGCTATCATTTTAGGAGAGATGTTTGTGACTGAATAAACATTGAAGCATACTATGTCAAGACCTGATAAAACTGTATGTTTTCGTGTGTTACTGTACTGTGTGCTCTTGCAGTCAGCAGCTAGGGACTTTCATCGGCAGTGAAGAATGGAAACAAACTGATTTACTGCAGATAGGCCCACTAGATGGGCTCCTGATAATCAATGAGATAATGAAAAAAATGTTTTTATTGTATGGTGAAATAAGTGGATCCAAGTCAGCAATATGCTTGTGCACATGAACATGTTGTTAATAATAACAACAACAACAATAATAACAGTAACAGTAATAAACAACTTCTAAAGAACAAAAATGTCTCCCCAAATGATCTTAAAAATGCAGGATTCAATGCATATGTTGGCGAAGAAGATTTTTAAACTGAGTTGTTTTTAACAAGTTTTTGGATTCAAGTTTTAATTAGGGCAGTGCTATCATGCATTTCTTCTTACATTCCAGGACAATGCAGAAATCTTAACGTGTGGCAAACATTAGCTGGAGACCAAATTGTCATATTTGGATTTGTCCAAGACTCAGACAACTTCTTTATGAATAAAAAATAGATTTTGGAGTAGAACTTCCTAAGTATGTGACATTCACAATAGACGAAATGCTTTGAATGAAGGAGGGAGTTATTAGTTATGCCATTGGCCTTTTTTAGATGTAGTTTTTCTGCATTTTTGAGAAAGTCTTTAAAGATAATTGAGGTGTAACAGGCCAAAGTGAAACCACTGATGATACAGTTCATACTGGAATGGAGCAAAAGTTCAACATGAACTCAGAGAGTTCGCGTAAAAGTGGTAAAGTGATTGTTTAAAATCCTCATCATTATCTTCAGGTTTTGTTACTCTTCTGTTGTCTGGAGATGATTGTCTCTTGGTTGGATTGTCATTGCTCAATTCATATATTCTGAGGGAGAATTATTTTATTTTATTTTTGCTTTCAGAAGTACCACTTTAATAACTTTGGAGAAATTTAAAGAACCAGCATCATGCTTTGTTGTTGTTTAAGTACTGTGGCACAATCAGTACCCTAAAAAAATCCTGACATTTAAAACTGGCTTAGGGAAAAGGTAGTTTGCAGACAGTTTCCCAGAATCCCCTCTGTTTTTCTTTTGATATATTTTCAGGCCAGGAATAAGGCACATACATTTTCTAAAGATCAGAAGTTCATGTATTCTTTCAGTACTATAAAAAGCTGTACGAAGAATAGGCTTTCACTTTCCAATAGGACTTTCCAAGTCTACTGCTTGTGGTGTGCTAAGTAGAAAATTCATGCCAATATTTTAAGAGCTGCAACAGAAATGGCTATGAATTGGCCCAAACCTTTTTTTCTGCTGTTCTGTAGTCACCTTTTTTAGCCTAGTTTGGGGTTTGACTTTCCTCCTTCAAATTGTGTATTCTAGATCCTTTTGCAAGTACAAGTTTTTTCTGAAACAGAAATAAACGTAAGTGAAGTTTAAAGAACTACATCATCTCTGAGTGATTCCCAGTAATCATTTGCCATCTGTAAATTTTGCGTATTGTTCTCTTTTATCCTCTATCAACAGCAGTGCTCAGCAATAAATGTAGGGCTTTAGCACACAGAAATAGAGAAAAAAATTGTTACATGAAAACAGTCTCAAACTACAGCACGAGCCTAGATCCCATATGTCAAACATCCAGAGAGATTCACCTCCAGGGCATGGTTCAGGCCCATCTTGAAATAGGAGGCAACATGTAGTTTTTATGGAAACTACATATGGTATCATACAAACCAGCCTTTGCCTGTGGTTTTTGTGTGGGAAGAAACATTCTCTTTAAAAGAGGAATTTCTTTCTTGACCTAACCTTTAGGCCATGATGATTATCTTCCAAGAGAAAGGCTCATTTGATGCTTTACAATTCTATTACAGTTGTTTGGAAACAAATCTTAAACTTTAAAAAAAATCAAAACAGATCAGAATAAAGCAGGATGAAACTGAGCAGGCATATGTTGACAGCAAAATGATGTGTAAAAGCCCTTGCATAGCTCAGTAGTCTGTTAGAGCCGAGACTTGGAAAAGCTCTTCTGTGCAGCTCTTAATGGATGCTTAAATCCCATTCACTGTCACATGTTCAGGATCCTTTAAAATACTCAGTGTTCTCAGCTCCTGTTGGTTTCACAGAAATGAAGAACTCTTTCTCTTACAGGACTGGACCATGGATGCTTTATATAAATCATGATGCTGTTAGCTAAACTAGGAGTAATAATTCTCAGAGCTAAAATGAGATGGCAATAAAGGAGATTAGCAATCCTGCCCATTTTTGTATGGATCCAAAATACAAAGACAACATGTAGGATAGAAGCAAAAAGGAATTAACAGTTATCTACTAAAAACATAAAAAATGTTTGTACTTGGTCAAACCAAATGTTTGTCTCGCCCAATATTCTGACTCTGACCATGACTTTATGAAGAAACCTGGGGAAGAATGAGACAGGACAAGTTGGCCTTCAGCTATTTTCAACTTCCTGGACTGGGTGTAATGTCTTAATTATGGGGTATTTAAAAATCCTTAACGTATTTCTTCTTCATTAACTTGTCTAATTCTCATTGAATCTTTGCAAACATTTAACACCCACAACATCCTTTGGGAAGGAGTTCCATGGTTGTGTGAAGAACCGTCTTCTTTTACTTGCTTTCAACCTGGCTCCTACTCGCTTCGTTTGATGTCTTCTTTTATTGGAAAATACAGTGAACAAAGCAAACCCCATATACTTCACTTGGACACTCAGGATGCTGTAGCTTTTTGTTATATCCCCTATGAAGTTGTATATCCTCAAGGTTGAGCTAGAGACAGAAAATAGTTCCATGTGGAAATCTCTATAGTTTCTGTCTCTGCAAACACTGATGCAGAGTTCTTTTACCTTCTCCGCAATGCCCCTATCTTCTCTCAGTGCTCCTTTATAATTTGATCATCAGTGGACCCAGCAGACTTCCTGCTCCTAATGTATTTGAAGTAAGATTTATTGTGAATTTTGATTCGTCTTTGTAGTTGTTCCTCAGACTCTCTTTTTGGCCCGCTTTATGGTGCTTTTGCCAAAGTTTGGAAACATGACTTATGTGGCTGAGTTAGGAAGAGAGCTAGTTTCCATAGCTTCTTTGATGTTGTAAGAGAAAAGTTCTTCCAAAGAAGGTAGTTCAGAGCAGGACCAACTGTAGTATTCCGAAATGCTTTTTTGCTTGCCACTGCCTGTGTAATGGCGCATCTATCTTAGAATTTTATTTCAGAACACAAGTGTGCTTCTGAGGCACATCTCACTGTACTGCACTTTGATTTGCATCGTGTTCTTGGAACTCATGAACCAGTCTCCTTTTATAGAAAACTAATCTGGAAAATGTGCTCCAGAAGAGCAACGAGTGTGCTCTACCTTGAAGGAGGATAACACAGGATAAATTGGAAGAGAAGTGGGCAAGGATTTAATTTAGTAATTCATCACTTCACTTTGAAAGGGCAAAAAGGGACTTGAGGAAGTCTGTAAATCCCAGTTCTCCCTTAAATAAACATTGATAAAGTAGACAGCAAGGTTAAAACATACAAAATAAACCATGTCAAAATCCAACCAAGTCAAACAAGATATGAGGAGTACCTCTGCTCAATTACTTTTTGTTTTTCTTGAATATTGTCCTGTGTAAAATAGTAACTCTGAGAGTAAAGAATTTTTCTGCATACTGGAGCAAATTCTTTTTTCCAGACTAGTTCCCACTGTACCAAAAATGTGTCTTTAAGAGAAAATTATTGGCATAAATCTGAATATGCAAAGTGTGGTAAAGGCACAGGCTGAAAATAGAAATCTGGATTGTTTTGGACAGATCTCATGGTCTGGAATTTGGAACTTACATTGTGGAAAATGGAACTTCCGAGAAAAGTGTCACTAGTTTGGAAAATAGTCTATTTTGGATGAGGATGAGAAGTAAAACCTCAGTATTTTCCACAGAAAAAAAGAATTGTTTCCAAAGCTCTGTTGCAGGAGAATTGCAATAAGAATGTTTTAATATGTCAGCTGCCTACTTGGAAGGCTGACAAAGGTTGGGCCTTCTTGGATACCCTTTTACACACTATGTAGCCTGTCTCTAGTGTGGTAACACAGAGAGTCTCTTGCCTCCACAGGTCCTAGGGAAAGTTGC